GATCTGTGCGGCCAATGGACAGCAATCGGCCACCAAATCCGTAGAACTGGTCGAATAGTATTGAATATGATTTGTTCGGTCGAAGAGTACGCCAATGCCTTTGTGGTGATGGCAGTCGTCGATCACTCCCTTCTCGTACAGACCTCTGTCTGTTTTGGCCAACACTCGGTGTCCAATCCATTCCGACAGATCGCTATCCATTCCATACACATTTGGATCACCAATTGATCCGATGTTGTTGTCAATCATCGAATGGCTTATGGATATCAATGGTTTTGCCGAAGAGTTGCCAACAATTGAATTGTTTTCAATTGACATCTGATTAGAGAGTAAACAATGGATTAATAATGAATGCATTATTGGTGAGCGAATCACATCATGGCATCAATTGTCGGATCAGTTTGCTTACCATTTAGTGTGCAGTGTTTGACAATTAGTGTTCAATACAGTGACCATAAAAATAATAATTTGATGGCATTTTGTACGCAAAATTGTTTTTATTGTTAACACATTAATGAGCGTAAAATGCGTTTTTAAAACGTTGCAAACAATGATGCAATACCGGAACTCCCGGTTAATAGCACATGTTTTATGAGCTCATGTTTGTATGCATTTATTGTGTTTCAGTTTGTATTCAATAACATTTTGTGAGACATCAGCGCCACAAACCTTTGCCCTTTTGAACGTCGCGCACGAACGTCGGGAACATATTTAATGGCAAATGAAATGTTGCCGATTGCGGTCGGCATGCAGGCTATGGCATTGGACCCCCTGGCCTTAGGTCAGGACCCGCCGGCGGTGGCTCTGAACCCTGATGCCGGGGGTCAGAACCCGCCAGCGGTGGCTCTGAACCCTCAGGCCGTGGTTCAGGACCCGCCGGTTGTCGATTTGGACCCTCAGCCCATGGAACAGGACCCGCCAGTAGGCCACCATGCGCCACAACCGGTAATGGATCCCATCATCGCCCAAATCAGGAGAGAGTTAGAAGCGCTTGACAGGTAAGACAATTGTTATAATATTTGGTGATTATTCGCATATAATTGGCGCCGGATTTCATTTAAAAATAACAATTATTTTTACGGTAAGTTTTGTAATAAGCATTCAATTAATATTTTATTATAATTATATACAGGAATGACCCGCTTAATGCCATTCGTCACCGCCGTGGGACCCGCGCCGGCCAAAATCAACGGCCTTATCGGCGAGGACGTGGTAATTATGGCGGTGATTATGGTAATAGTATTGGCGGTAGAGGTCATAGAGGTCATGGCGGTAGAGGTGGCGGTCGGGGTGGTTATCGCGGTGGCCGTCGTGGTAGTTATGGCGGTGGTTATGGCAGTAATGGAGGCTATGGTGGCGGACACGGAGGGAACCGCGGAGGTTATGGCGGAAATAACGGTTACAATAACGGCTATGGAGGCAATAACGGTGGTTATGGCGGTCATGGAGGTGATGGCGGTGGTCAACAGGTTATTGTTATTAACCCTCATTATCATTACTAAATGTTTTATGTTTTTTTGTTTATTAAACAATAATATTCTTGTATATATCAGTAGTCATAAAATTATTATATAAAATAATATGCATTGTATTGTTATTATTATTACATTTATGTTTAATTTTGTAAATATGAACTGATTGTACGGTAGATATGATTATAATGTTTTGAATTGTATTTTGAATTTAACATATTTTTTGTAATAAAAATTATTTGCTTATTTAGTTTTTTTGTCTGAGATTTAACTTTTGATAAAAACTCAAAATATGTGTCACTTTTGTGTTACTATGTGTTGCATATCATTGCATTCCATTCGTGTGTGGACTCATCCCATTATTTACTATTAGGGTCATCACATTATTTACTACTACTATTTACTACATAGAAATGAATGTAGTTACCCAAAAGTGCTTGTCTCTTCTTATTAGTTTTGTAAATTTAAATATAATTTGAATATTAGTGTGATATAACCTGATCTTAAACCAAATTTACATGTAGTTATATCATAAATTTTAATTTTAACATTATTTTATTTTCATTATTGTAAAACCGTGTTTAATAACTAATCATTAAGTAATTAATATTTTGTTGTCTTGAGAGCAAAAGTGCATAAAATTCACTTATTCTTAGAGCTGTTCATCAAATAAAAGTGGTCTCGACTTTGTTTCATAACTTTGTGCGCCATTTGAGCGACGAGTCTCTGTCCGATCAGACCTATGACACAGTGTACGGCATAAGAAAGAAGTTTGTGTTTCCAATGGCCATAAGTAGTGGACTCAATGCCGACCGTCTGAATGGCGGCCGACACGAACTCATCGGCGCCGACAGTCCAGACGGACGACTCGTTTGATTCGTGCAATAGTTTCGTTTTGGTCATCGACGGCATCACTGTCTGTATTGTCACGCCTTTGCCCTCGTATTCAACGGACAGACCGTCCGATAGGAATCTAATGAACGCTTTGGCTGTCATTCAAAACAAAGACAATTGACATTCAATTAGCCATTCATCGCATAACACAAACAAATGCTATGATATGTGGTATTACTGGCGGCATAAGTGGTCATTAGAGGGACGGGTGTTATCGCCGTTTGGGACGATATGTTGATTACAATACCGCGCTTTCGGTCAACCATTTTCGGCAAAACTATTTCAATGAGTTTTAGATACGAAAACATATTGACATTGAAATACGTTTCGTTCATTTGGGACCCGTACAGGTCCTTTATCAGCCCTGTTCACGATTCTCACGGGTGTAACAAGTGGTTATGCAGTTAGTGAAGGTTAACCAAGTTGAGAAACCGCTAGTATAGCATTTGTAGCCATGCTGACTTTAGTCGCCTAATTGTTTTGACCTAAAGTTGAGAAATAAATGGTTATGTTTTGGAGATAATACTGAAGACACCATTGAATTACAAACCTGTTTGCAGTCTTTGTAGTCATTTAATAGACTCTTTTGTGTTGCCATCAGTTTGTCTTCATTTCTGGAGATAATGACTAAATTGTATGCCTTTTGTGCCATTTGTTTGGCGTATTGCAGACCAATCCCATCGGTAGCGCCGGTGACGACAGCCCACACATTGTCTCCGGCTTTCCATTCAATACCAAAACCCAATTTATAGCCCAAAAAAGTGGTCCAAAAGCCCTTCAATACACTTATTGTCAGTTTTAATGCAACGAAAACCAATGAAACGATTCCTACGATCTCTAGATATGTTAATTCACTCATTATTTCATTGATTTAATTGCAATTCAATTCAATTAAAGGTAAAAGTTTTTTGCCGTAAAAAACTCATTGAAAGTGTTCAACATTTGTGTCTTTTATTAAAAATATTGACGTAATTGATATTTAATCAGTCAATAAAAAGTGTCCGCGCGGCTTTTGAGTTTACGGCTAAACTAAACGAGCTTGATCAAATCTGTAAAAAGTAAAATGAAGGTCTACATGTCTAGTTTTTTTGTATCAAAAATTTATTGAAATCACGTGATCAGGACACAATTTTTGAGTCAAATCGATTGGTCATAGTTTTAACCTACCTGGTGAATATCTATGATATGAAAGTTTCGTAAACATCAAATAAATATTCTTTCGTAGCGAACAATATATTCAATAAATTTGACACAATATTTGGACAAAAAGTGCCCAATTTATTGACTGATTAGATAGCTCTGTAGGGGTTAGGGGTGGAGCGGATCAGCTCTTGAGTGTGGAGAGGCTGTAGCTGTGATGGTAGGGCTCGCTCTCACTCTTCTCGCACGCAATGAAAAACACAAATTTTGTTATCAAAAGTCACTTTTAATAAGAATTGTTTGCGAAAATCAAATAAAAAGTACAACAATTAGTTACATATTAGCGAAACTGAAGCGAAAAGTCGTCGACCAGAGCCCGTTAAGGGGTGGGGAGTAGCGGATCAGATGGCGGTCATAATGGGGTGATATATAGCTACAGATGGTAGGGCTCGCACTCACTCTTCGCTCACATTCAATAAAACACTCATTTGTTGTTTAATAAAGTTTTTAATAATAATTATGTCCGGAAAAAAACAAATAAAAAACACAAAATATGGTTAAATGTAAGCGAAAAGACATCCAAAGATAACCGTGAACTGAAGCCCACGACTCTCGCGACCCAACTGTCCCTCAAATTCCTCGTATCTCTCGCTATATTCACTGTTCGCTCACTTCTTGGGCTCTCAATCCAGACTCACTTTGGATGACTTCAGCTAAAAGTAATTAAAAACAAAGTAATTAAAAATAATGTCAAATAAAGCGAAAAAACGCATAAATGTAAAAAATAAGTGTTTTCTTAAGCTATGGATTAAATGGTAACGGCAGTGGACTAGTGTGTCGGCTCAGTCCATCGTCGAGGGCGTTGTCACGTCTCCGCTTAATAGCACTTCCAGCTGCGCGTCGCGGTTCGCCACCTCTCGGCTCTCCTTCGCCCAAACCATCGGAATCGCCGGCGAACTCATTGGTCGACATCTTTGGGCTGAGATGTGATCCCTCGCCGATAACACGAGCGCTCAGAAGGGCCCGCGTGTTGACTGTGTGCGAGCGGTTGGGAATCACTGTGATTGTCGTCGGTCTCGTCAGAATCAAATCACTGGCGCTAAAGTTTAGTTCCTTCCCATCCCTGTCGAGGTATGTGAGGACACCGTCGAGTGGTATCAATAGCGCTAAAAAGAGGGAAACTTGACTCATGTCATAGCCTTCCAAGAGTGCGGGCACTTCATCGCCGAACTTGTAAGACCACGTGTCGGGTCGGATGTAGTGCAACGGCTGGAGGCCGTCGCGAACGGGGAGTCCGCGGACATAGATCTCGTACTCTGAACTTCGATCCACGTTATTGTTGATGGGATTCAAGTATATGATCGGTAACTTGTCGTCCGCCTGACTCGTGAAGCCATAAATTCGGGTTTTAGTGGAGGATTCTTGTTCGGCGAGAACCCTCTCTTTGTTGACTTTGGCCATCACTTGCTTCTGGACATTAAGCTGACGAGTCAAGCGATTCCGAGCGGCGGAGGCATCGCGAAGGTCTGAACGGAGCGTTTCGTGGCTCTTGACCACTGAACGACTCGCTTCTTGGCTTCGAAGGCGGGCCAACTCTTCCCGAAGCTTAGAGTTGTCGCGAATGAGCGCATCGTTGCGTCTGATTTCTTCCTGACGTTGGCTCACGAGAACCTCATTGCCTCGACGGAGACGCGCGACAAACTCTTCGGTGTGTTTCATCTTCTTCGGGCTCTCTTGAGTGACGATACGAGTGATGGTATGAGTTGTGCCCTCGCGATGATGACAGTCAATGGCCACCGGATCCGTATTTACGGCCGCATCGCTAGTTTGCAGCGACTGTCCTGATGTCTGGCTATGCGTTCGCTTTCTTCCCGTCCGTCCGCTTGCGATGTATTGAACGTCTTCTGGAGTGGAGGCCATGTCTGAAGTGGTGATCAACGGATCCATTGATAAGTGAGGGATAATGTGATGAATTTGTGGCACAAATGGTCAACGTTTTGATCGCGTTATGCATTATATAGTAGTCACTTAACTAATGCTAAGCTATACTGAAGTCTATTGCTGTATGGCGTGTAATACAGACACCGAATCATATCGATTACCGTTGCGTTAAAAGTTACACAAATATAATAATTATAAATATATTTTAGCTATAATTTATATAAAATAAGCTCTAGATATAATAATCAAAGTGAACTCCAGACATTGTCTTAAAACAATACATACGTATATTTATCGCTAATCCAAACAACATTATGATTAATTGTTTGTAAAATTATCCCTATTGATTTAAAAACAACAAACAATTTAAATGTGACTATCAGTGCACATAAATATTACATACAATGTTTTGTATATTTATTTTAAGTCATCGGACACTCGCTATAACCACTGAATTTTGGACAATCATATGATTCATATCACTATTAAGATTCTTGAAATAATAACTATTAATTTCCTCATACATTGAGTATTGCGGCGAGAATTTAAGCATTAAATCTAAATTATTAGCGATTTAGAGAAAATAATATTTCAAAAGCTTTTATAACTTTTTTAGCGGCGTTTTGGATTTCACTTTATCATGCAATTCAAGTGTCTGTGAATGCAATGCATCGCATAATACATTCAATTCGGAGAACTTCTATGTGTTTTATCATATTGTTGTGTGGTGAGCCCTTACCCGAGCTACACTCCACATAACTATGTCATGAGAGGAGGTCTTACCGGGCCTCTCATCTCACAACTGCTCCATTCGATCTCATTTGTTGCCATTGTTAGT